TGAGAAGCAGAAGCAACAAGCAGGGAAAACGGGGAAGAGCTGCCCCCACGGCTCCTGCCTGCTCGCTGGTGATCCTTCCCCTGGTTTCATCAGAGCTGCCACAATGGAGCACAGTGGAGGTCAAGGCATACACAGACACACACACACACGCACGCGCGCAAGCACACAGACACACAGACACACACACACACACACGCACGCACGCACGCACGCGCACGCACACACACACACACACAAACACACACACTGCTTTTGTTCTCAGAAACTGAAATCCAATTATTAAGCCCTTGCCTTCCCACTCCTGCATCAGCAAAGGTGTACATAATTTCCTGCTTAATTTTAAAGGAAACCAAGCAGCATGAAATGGGATTCATACTTTCCTCTGAATGGTGTGATCAGTTGAGAATGCTTCATTGACTTCAGGTGGATTAACAGATATGTCTTCCTGGGCTGATCTGGAGCCACTTAAAGAGTCATTTTTATAAGGTGAATTAAAATAAATGGATGAGACTAATGGCAACCCTCGCGTCAGAGGTGGAAGGGAATTAAATACTCGAGAAGCCCAGGTCTGATGGATGCTGTATGTAGTGGAAAGAGTTCAGGCTTTATTTATTTCATAACTATGCAGGATTTTAGAGAGAAGTCTTCTTAAACCTCACTTCTATAAGAAGAAACCCAAGGGCCAAGCTAGACATTATAGACAGCATGTCATTAAAAGAGGAAATTCCTGAAGTGCTGAGAACATCTGAATGCGGAGCTCTCCACACCTCTCCTAGTTCGCACATTGCCATATTTTGTTTTGAGATGGGTCCTCAGGAAGCCAACAGGGGTTTCATTTGCAAGTATGGTTTCTCATGAAGGGTCTGCCTGAATCATGTCTCTCCAACACTAATTGATTTCAGCTTCAAATTGTTGGCGATCCATACAACTTGGCCCTTTAGATACCCACAAGTTGGCAGCAGTAGGACAGCCTTAACCCAATGCCAATCTATCTCACACGTGCTGCATCTCCCTCTAGGAATGGGGAATAAATTCTTTGGATTTACAGTTTCAGATGAAAATGCCTATTTAATGCCACCTGAGAAAGACAGGAGAATAAAACGTATCTCAGCTTAAAAAAATTGCGAGGTTTCCGATTGCGTTTCAAGAGGGAAAATACATGCAGAGGCAAAAAAAAAAAAAAGAGTACATGTCTTGAAATGTTAAATTGCAAACGGCACGTGAAGCCGGGGTGGCTTTCCCAAGGCTTTCCGCTCTCACCCGACTCCCTTTGCTGCTCTCTTTGCTTCCCCCACGCAGCTCAGCGTGTGGTTTGATGAAGAAGGAGAACCGGAGCTTCGTGGGGTGGGGTCCGCGGAGGGCGGCCGGGAGAAGGCCGAAGAATCCTACCGACGGTTTAAGGAGATCTTCAAAGAAGCCACGGTATGTTGAGCCGCTGGTCCCTTCCCCCGGCAATACCCACAGCCGAAATGGCCTTGAGAAAGGAACCAGGATTGTCCTGGGAATGCGGAACGTCGATATTCTGAGCTCAAAATTCACATTCAGGAGCATTTGCTTTTTTAAGCGGCTATTTCGCCTTTGCTCGTAAACGTTCTGAAAATGGGTGAATCCTCACCTTCCTGGTTCTCATGCCCTCCTTTCCTAAAACCCTGACCTACATCGGTAGGATTCTAGCCCCCTCCACAACCCTAGCCCTAAATCTGTATGCAAATTGGGGGGGTTGTCTTCTTCACATTGAATCAGATTTAATTCCTCTGTCCAGCTTCTTCCAAAAGCCGTAACTCCATCGAAATCCACTTTTCCAGCTTGAGCGAGGCTGGCGCCCTGCTCCCAGCAGTGGCCGGCAAAAAAAATAAACTGGTGGGAAGCCAGGCCGCCAAAAAGTGAGCCGGTGGCCCAGTTCTGATGCTCTTTGCCTTCATGCGTCACACTCTGTGGATCCCATTTGTTCCTAATCAAGAAAAGGCACAGCACAGAGTCCGTTTTTCTCCTGCTTCCCTTCACCGCTCCTTTAGGTCCATTACAACCATGGGCTATCTCTCTCGAAGGAAGCTGCCAAGGTCCAAGGCTCCCACTTCCCAGAGTTGGGGGCCTTCGAGGCGGCCAAGCGAGCTTTCCAGGCCAAGCTGACCACCTTCTACATGGCCATGCAGACGAAGGAGGCTGAGCTGGAGACCTACCTGGACCTGTGCAGGTTCTCTGACAAGGTGAGCGTGCAAAAACCCTGGGAATCCACGAAAGCAAAAAAGATATAGAGAAGCTGGTTGGGTGGGGAAGGAGGAAGAATCATCTTAGAACGGCTGAGCTGGGAGGGGACCCTCTGGATTATGGCGTCAAGGTGGCCATGTGGGGGGTGGGGATTCGAACTCCCAACCTCTGGCTCCCCAGCCAGAGACCTCAACCCCTGAGTTGTCCAGCCCTTAAGCCAGAGCACTGAGAACAGCTTGGAAAAAAGCACTTTTCTCCGGTTGCTACGAGTCAGAGACCCACCACCTCCAGAATGGGAGATTCTGGGAGGCACATCCCAAAGATTCTACCCCAATTGTACACCAACCCCCAAAATCACTTTCCCCAAGTCTGGTCTTGCAGGTGGAGGAGGCTTATCATAAATCAGGTAGCCCGTCCATGCTATGCTGCTTGTAGGGGCTCCCTGGGCAGGCAGGGGAGCTCAGACTGAAACGCAGGATGGCAATTGGCATCCATGCACGCAGGAATAGGCTGACTTTGGTGGGCCTCAGAGGGCCACGGCCACTGGGGTTTGGCCCCTTCCAAGTTCAGGGGCAATTGAATCCTGAATAGCCACCACGGACGGCCAGCGGCTGGGAGGAGGATGTGTCCATGGGCTTCCTTGTAGCGTTTGGCTGGCCCTGAGAGAAGCCAGGCTGCTAAGCGGTGGAGGGACCCCTTTGGGCTGTTGTACTGACGTCCTTTAGACCTTCCTGGGGGGCTTCTGCTTCCCTACAGTGTTGTGGGACAAGAGAAAGGAGCTGGAAGGAGGCAGCCTCATGATATAGGACGTTAGCCCTCAGGAAGGGAGACGGGTTTGCCCTCCAGAAAAGACTAGAGGTCTCGGTCTAGAAGTGCAGAATCTGAACAGGGTGGGGATGGAGATATTAAGGACGGATGGACTGGACTGGCAGAAAGGGGAGGGAGGGTATTCTGGAGGAAGAGGAGGAGGAGGAGGACCACCTCCAGTAGCGGCTAGTAAGAATGGTTTCTTGTGTCTTTCGAGGTCACACAGTTTAACCTGGACTGCAAGGAACACCCGGCCTTACGGACGCCCAGGCAAAACGAGCCCGTGAGCCCAGAACTCCAACGAGAAGCAGAAAACCTTCTCCGCCGGCTCTCGGGGGAGTTTTCGGCTGAGACGTTCCAGCAGATGAAGATCCAAGCTTCCAGCATGTGCAACGGAAGCGGGCTTGCGGTGTGGAGAGAAGCTCTGGAGAGGTGCCAAGAAGCCAAGCAGATTCTCGAAGACGGCCTGGCAAGATTCAAGAAGGACAAGATGGAAGGCTTGGGGCAGGGCCCCGCTCCTGAAGTCTCCAGCAAGGAAACTTGCGTGGAGGGGCCCTCGGCGAGAATCAAGGAACGAGAAGAGATGTTGGACAGCCGGAGCAGGAGCGACGTTGGGTCTGTGGACAGAACTGGCCGTCATTCGCTGGAGGGTTCCTTGAGTGGTGGTTTAGCGAAGGATGTGCAGGAAAGCGAGGAGACCTATCTGGTTTCTTTGGGTGCCAGTCTGGAATGGGGAGGCCCTGAGACTGCCGAGGGCTTGGAACCTCTCCCCCCGACCGCTGAGAATTCACCTCCAGCCTCTCCCGCCCCTGCCTCTCGTCCTAGCGCCGGGCAAGTGCCAGGGGCCTGCGAGACCCTCCCTCCCCTCAAACAGCCTTGTGCATCCATGCCAGCCAGGGGTCAGAAGAACCGGAGAAAAGAAACAACCCAGTACTTCCAGCTCTCCAGACACGAGAGCTTCTCCTCGGAAGACACCGATTCCCAGCACTCTGCCGAAGAGGCCCTGGGCTCCTCCACCACCTTGCCCGTGGACCTTCTGGGCCCCAAAGGGGGCTGGGCTCAGGAAAAGGCGGCGGGCATCCTCTATCTGGAGAACCACCGCACGAGCCCCCTGCCCCACACGGCCGCTCAATAGGGCCAGAGAACTGAGGGGCTGGTAATCAAGAATTCTGCCCCAAAAGCTGTGCCAGTGGACCTCTTTGCTTGGGAAGCCTCGGTGCTCTGCTGGGCTGCATGTACAGGAAAGCCTTTGTTAGTGGGCGGGGGGTGGGGTTGTACAGTTTTACAGGTGCTTCATATCTCCGGCCTGTAACTTGGTCTGTGCCAGCCGGCTCGTTTCATCTCGTTTCTCATGGTTCTCCTGCAAGTGTGACAAAGGAAATTGCTCTTCAATCTTTGGCCTCACCCAGACCTGGCTGAGACACACCTGAGGGAGAGCCCGGCTCCCCCCCCCAAGGCCCCCTAACCCCAGGTTCTGCCTATAAGGCACACACTCAACAGCTGCATGATGACCATTGGCTTTTATTTACAGGGGCTGCCCTCAGCTCTCCTCTGAAAGAGACAGGCCACCTTGTTTTAATGCTGGACCCAATTGGTGAGAGCCAGCGTGGTGTAGTGGATAGACTGGTCGGCGAAGAGGCAGGAGGCCTGGGTTCAAATCCCCCGCTCGGCCACAGAAACTCAGAGAGGGAGTGGCACGCCTGAAATATCTCCCTTACCTCGAAAACCCTATTAAGGTTGCCACGTGTTAGCCGTTAGATGCGACTTGATGGCAGACAACATAATGCACCAATTCACACGACCGTTTTGAACTGAAGTGACGTCATAGGGAAAGTGGCTTTTTAAAATATTCACAATTGATGGTACACCAAGCTTGTTATGTTGGTTGCAACTAAATCCCATGGAACCACAGAAAAGTTACGTTGGAAGGGGCCTATAAAGGCCATGCAGTCCAGCCCCCTGCTCAACGCAGGAATACCATCAAAGCATCTCTGCCAGGGGATTATCCAAGTTTTTCTTGAATGCCTCCAGGGTTGGAGCGCTCACCGACTCCCGAGGTCACGGGCTCCACTGTCGTACTGCTCTAACAGTTAAGAAGTTTTTCCTGACATTCCACCGAAATCTGGCTTCCTGTTACTTGAGCCCATGGTTGCGTGTCCTGGACTCTGGGATAATCAAGAACAGATCCTGCCCCCCCCCCTCTGTAGGACTCCCTTTCTTTCAAGTCTTTGAAAAGTGCTCTCCTTTCTGTATCTTCTTTTCTCAATGGAAAACAAGAGGGTTTAAGTCAGATAAATTTGTTCTATTAGGTTTAGTGGGATTCAGGCGTTTACAGAAGGTCCCTCTTTTTACAGATTGTCTCAAGTGTGGACCTTGCCCCGAGTGGGGTAAGAGCTGGTCTGGGGTTGATTTCGGAGAGGCAGCGGCATTCAACTCTTGCAGCAAAGACAACAAGAGGGCCTTGTGGTACCTCAAAAAACTAGCCAGGCTTTTTCTCAGTATGAGCTTTCGTGGACTGCAGCCTTAGAGTCCCACCACAGTAGAGAGACTTTTACGCAGAGAGCAGGGGAATGACTCTAATAAGAGAAATTTCAAATGGGAAGTTTATTGGGTAGCCGTAAGCAAACATTTCACCTACCTCACAACATTGCTGGAAAGAGAAAGTGGGGTAACCCCAAATGTCACTCTAAGAACCTTGGAGAGTGGAATACAGAGTTGTTACAAAATGCAAGGGAGAATTGCATTTTGATGCCAACTTGTTCTGTTTTTCCTATCAAAAAGAGGTGGAAGGGGGAGAAATCTCTGTGGAGGTTGTTTTGGCTGAAAAAGCAGCCATGCCAGCTTGTTGGCACCTCGTCCATCGTGTTGCATTTGAGTTTACATCTCCCTGTAGGATAGCTAGAAAAAAGAGGGTTTGATACCTAGCCCCTTAGCTGTCTGTGTTTGCCAGTTCAACAGTACAGCTTCAGCAGTTTTGTTATTTTTTTTCTTTGTCATGTTCATTAACTGGTTAATTAATTTTTGTTTCATGCACAAGCAGGCAAAGTTGCAAGCTGCTGTGGAAAGGGCAATTGAGTTGGGCCGTTTCACCCCCCCCCCCAAGTGTACAGAGATCTTTAAGAGAGGGCTGCACAAATTACCCCAGCTTCATCAGGCACGGAGGTGCTGGGTCATGGTTTTGCACCAAGAGCATCATTTCTTAATCATTAGTCGTGGGACCTTGATATATATTACCAAAAATAATATATATTTTTGGCTGTTGAACAGTTCTGTTGACCTGGTTTGGATGCAACGGGAAGGGTGGTTATATGGGCTGAAATTATTTGAGTAGCTACATACGTGCTCTAAGTTTTAGATGTGAATTGCTGTAAATTAAGACATATTTGTACACACTACCTGTTGCTCACTGAGTTATGTGGCTTGGGGGCAACAGATAATATCTACAAAGATTTCTTAATTTCCTGCAATTTTGGCCTAAAATGCATGCTGTTTGTATAACTGCATAACAAGACTTTTTAGGCACAATTTCCAGACTCTGGTCCTATGCAACTGTTCTTAGGCTGGTACTTAATTATGCCACATCTTTTGTGAACAACGGATACGGAATATCAGGGTGAACAGAAAGAAATTCTTACCTCCTCCTGCAATATTCCATCATGCAATTTTTTTGACATTTATGACAATCTTTTCTTCTCCCTTTTAAGAGAAGGCCTGAATGAATGGGTCGGTTTCTTAATTCTTGTCCCAAAATGAAGGTTTTGCTTATATATGGGTTTCTTTTTAAAGTGGAAGAGACATGTAGACAACAGCCCATCTTTGAGATTATAATCGCAGGACTGTCAGAGGCAAGAATGGAGACTCGAGATTGTTCCATCGCTGTCTAAAAATATTAGAGATTATTTTTATATCTCTAAAATATGTATCACCCACCCGCCTCTTCCCATTCGATCCCTGGATAAGCATCTCACTTGGGTAGTGACAGCTGGTGCCTCCTCTCTTTTGCCAGTCTGCCAAGTGGGGCGCCGCACTGCTGCAAAGGGAGATGCAAATCAGCCCCTTCTGGGTGTCTAAGATTGATTAGTCCTAATTAATTCTTCCAGCTATTGAATTGGTATCATTACTGGAGAACTGAAGAGAGGAAGCACCCAGTCCAATGGAGAAACAGAATAATGTGAATGGGGGTTAAGGGAGAGCACAAACACACACGCCTCCCGACTCCAGCCTCTGAGCGCATGGACTGGGTGACTCTGGAAATCCTAGCCTCAAAACCTAGGTTGGAGGATGGCCTCGGACATGTCCCCACAAGACACTTCTGTGGCCTGAGCCCTCTTCTCCTTCACTGCCACCTTCTAAATCTGTTCATTTCGGACACATGTAATCTCTCCACCTGTTTGTTGATTTTGTTTGTGTTGTGCATGGCCCCTGTTCCTCCGTTCTGTTGTCCTTCCCATCAGCCCTTTTATAAATGCCAAGGACTCCGCCTGAGTGTCTCTCCCAGATTCTGAGAGTAAAACCGGAGTGTATTTTCTCCAGCACTGGCTTGTTGGCTTTCTAAATCAAGACCATGGAAAAACAGGGAGCAGCGGTTATTTCCGGCTTTTTCATTTCGTTGACCAACCCATTCCCCAAACGACCATTTGTCCTTGGAATTCAATCCTCAGCACAACATCCAAAGCCGAACTCTTCACTGCCCCAAAAAGACGCCCAGTAGCGTTTTGCTAACATTTGTAGCCCCAAGGGGATCCCGGGAAAGAAAGCAGCCTTAAAGTTTGTGCTCGGAATGGAAAACAAGGAAAAGATCGGGAACCTTGAATCCTGACCCCAGGGGCCTCTCGTCCAAATGTCCCTCAGCTGCTTTCCCACAACCTCTTTATTTAAAGGCAACAAAACCCAGGCAATACCTTTCTTAGCACCAACCACGGGCAGCTGTGCAGGGTCGCCCGGGTCTTCTTGTCAGATCAGGTGTTACAAGAGACCGCCTGAGTCTGGAGGAGACGGGGAGGAGGAAAACAGATTGATGAGGGATACTGAAGTTGGGAAAACAGAGTCTGAAGATCTCATCCTCAGAACAGCAGGAAGGGACCCTCAGGAGTCATTTGAGTCCACCCTCTGCCAAGAAGGCCCAGTGGGGGATTCAAACTCCCAACCCCAGAGAGCCAAACCACTGAGCGACCCAGCAGTTGTCTCGTCACGCAGGGTTCAAGAGGCCTCTTGGCCGAGCTTTGGGAGAAAAACCGGCTTGAAATGACTTCCCCACTTCCCCAAAAATATAGAATCTGGTCATGCCGTGGATTTGCCTCCGACCCTCCTTGAGACACGCTGGCCTCTTGGTAGACCCCAAAGAGCCATGGAGAGAGAAGGTCCCGCCGTCAGCCCTGAGAAGCATTCCTCCCCGAAAGCCCCACGGCTGCTCATTCGCTGAGGGGTCCTTGGGAGTACAGTGGGGTCTTGACTTGAGAACTTAATCCGTATTGGAAGGCGGTTCTCAAGTCAGAAAGTCTGTAGGTCAAGTCTCCATTGACCTACAGTGCATTGAAAACCGATTAATCCCGTAACAGGCCGTTTTTGTTCCATTTTGGTTTTTTTCTGGTCTGTAAGTCAATTCTCAGGCTGCAAGTCAAACCTAAATTTTGCGGCCAGAGGAGTCTGTAACTCGGAAAGTCTGTAAGTCAAGCCGTCTGTAAGTCAAGGGTCCATTGTAACCCGTTACTTGCAAGTGGTGACGGCATCCCCTCCGCCTCTTTTTCAAAGTGAATTAATAGGAGCTGAAGGTGTCCTTCTCTTTGAACACCTGGGTCCAGCTTCAGAAGGTGGCTGAGGGACCCTGAGGGGGGAGCAGACCGGAAGCTCTACCGCCCCATGGCATTGTCCAGGCAGAGGAGAGGTGGACCATCCTCCTGCTCGTCGTAGAGAAACAGGACAGACCTCAACAAAAATACCAGCATGGGATCAGTTTCTCCTGCTGGGTCAGAGCAGGATCTGAACCTCGCTCAGTCCCATGGGCACTGGCGGAGTGGCCAAAGTTGGTCTCGCCAAGGGTTACATGCCAATAAATGCCGTCATCGCCAGAGAACGGCAGAGCTGGAAGGGACCCACCCTCTGCCGGATCCTCCCGTCTAGCCCCTGCCAACGAGGCACCCTGGGGGAATCGAACCCCCAACCACTGGCTCCGCAGCCAGAGGCCGAAGCTACTCAGCACCCCAGCTGTTCTGTAATGAGGTGGTGCAAGAGGGTTTTTCAAAATGTGGAGGTTTCCAGGTTCACGGACTCTCATCCGAACAGTGGCTCATGGTTCCTGCCTTCCTGGGTGGCACATTTCGATCCCCTGCCCCCTTGGTGGGAAAGGAGGGGTGGCCTTCCCTTTCTCTCCTGCCCTCCCCATCCTCTGCCCTCTCTCCCCCCTGCAAGGGGAAGTAGACGCAAGGCACCCTCCCTGAGGGCGGAGGAGGATGTTCGAGGTGTACATGAGAATCCCCATGAGAGTCAGGCTCATTGGGGACAGAGGCATACTAGGTGAGGGCACAGCTGGAAAGAACCAGGCTGCAAAAGAGACAAAGGGGGGAAAGGAAGGAAAGAAGGAGGGAGGGGGGTGATGGATGGATGGAAGGAGGGGATGGAGGGAAGGAAGGAGGGAGGGGAGGGAGGGAGGAAAGGATGGAAGGGAGAAGGGAGGGAGGAGCTGATGATAGATTAAAGGAAGCAAGCAAGCAAGCAAGGAAGGAAGGAAGGAAGGAAGGAAGGAAGGAAGCAAGCAAGCAAGCAAGCAAGAAAGCAAGGAAGGAAGGAAGCAAGCAAGGAAGGAAGGAAGCAAGCAAGCAAGCAAGCAAGAAAGCAAGGAAGGAAGGAAGCAAGCAAGGAAGGAAGGAAGCAAGCAAGCAAGCAAGCAAGAAAGCAAGGAAGGAAGGAAGCAAGCAAGGAAGGAAGGAAGCAAGCAAGCAAGCAAGCAAAAGTGCCAGAATCACTTTTCCCTAAAGAGGGAGAGCAT